CCAGTGGTCACCTTTGGGTGCTCGTTGTCCCCGTCAGTGCAGTTGTGGTGCCTCAACCCCCCCCCACCCAAGGGAGGTGACACCCGGAGGTGACTCAGACTGGCCCCAAAGTTGGCAAACAGGGACGAAAAAGGGCCTCAAGGGCAGGGCAGCACCACAACGTGACCCCATCACTGCCCCATAGGGACCCCGTAACGGCCCCATAGTGACCCCATAACAACACCACAGTGACCCCATAACAGCTGCATAGTGACCCCATAACAACCCCATAGTGACCCCATAATGGTCCCATAGAACCCCATAACGGCCCCATAGTGACCCCACAACAACACCACAGTGACCCCATAACAGCCCCATTCTGACCCCATAACAGCCCCATAGTGACCCCATAACAACACCACAGTGACCCCATAACAGCCGCACAGTGACCCCATAACAGCCGCACAGTGACCCCACAACAACACCACAGTGACCCCATAGAATCCCATAGTGACCCCATAAGAACACCACAGTGACCCCATAACAGCTGAATAGTGACCCCATAACAACACCACAGTGACCCCATAACAGCCCCATTCTGACCCCATAATGGCCCCATAGTGACCCCATAACAACACCACAGTGACCCCTCAACACCACAGTGATCCCATAGCAGACCCATAGTGACCCCATAACAGCCCCAGAGCAGCCCCATACTGATTGCATACAGATCCCATAACAATCCCATAGAGAACCCATAGAGCCCCATAGTGATCCCATAGCGACCCCATAACAGCCCTATAGTGACCCACTAGAAGCCCCTTAGTGACCCCATAACAGCCCCCTAGTGACCCCATAGAATCCCATAATCACCCCATAACAGCTCCATACAGACCCCATACAGCTCCACCTGACCCCATAACAGCTCCATACAGACCCCATACAGCTCCATACAGACCCCATAACAGCTCCATACTGACCCCATAACAGCTCCATACAGACCCCATAACAGCTCCATACTGACCCCATAACAGCTCCATCTGACCCCATAACAGCTGCATACAGACCCCATACAGCTCCACCTGACCCCATAACAGCTCCACCTGACCCCATAACAGCTCCATACAGACCCCATACAGCTCCATACAGACCCCATACAGCTCCATACAGACCCTATAGATCCCCACAACCCATATAACTCCCTATAGACCCCATACATCCCCACAGACCGTATATAGGTCCCTACAACCCATATAGCTCCCTACAGACCCCATAGATCCTCACAGCCCCTACAGGTCCCCACTGCCCCTATATAGATCCCTATAGACCCCATAGATCCCCACAGCCCTATAAAGATCCCTGTAGACCCCATTGGTACCCACAGCCCCTATAGGTCCCTACAGCTTCCTATACAGTTCCCTACACACCCCATAGGTCCCACTGCCCCTATAGGTCCCTACAACCCCTACAGATCCCCACAGCCCCCATATGTCCCACATCCCCTGTAGACCCCATAGATCCCCTACAGCTCCTACAGGTCCCACAGCCCCTATATAGATCCCTACAGACCCCATAGATCCTCACAGCACCTACAGGTCCCCCTATATAGATCCCTAGAAACCCCATAGGTCCCCACGGCCCCTATAGGTTCCAACAGCCCCTATATAGATCCCTATAGACCCCATAGATCCCCACTGCCTCCATAAATCCCTATAGACCCATACAGCCCCTATATGCCCCCACAGCTCCTATATAAATCCCTACAGACCCCATAAATCCCCACAGCCCCTATATGTCCCCCCATACCCTCTACTGCCCCGCAGTCCTCCACCGGAGGACTCCATCTCTATGGTTCCAGCCTAGCTGGGCCCATCTCCCCGCCGCTCCGCTCCGCCCACTTCCGGCCTCTCGTTGTTTCGGCCCCGTCCCTTCCGGCCCCGCGCGTGGCGGGAGGAGGTGAGACGGTTTGGGGAGGGGGGGGGCGGAATCTGTGGGGTCGGTGGGCGCAATGGGGCGGGGGAGGGGCATGGGCTGAGCCATAGAGGCACCTTTGGGTGCTGTGGAGCTGCTTGGGGGGAAGGGGGCGGGGAATACAGCCCCCTAGATGCTATGGGGTCAATCCTGGGTGCCTATGGGGTGCTGTGGGGGCCCTATAGGATCACCCACAGAAGCACCTTTGGGTGCTGTGGGGCTGCTTGGGGGGCATTGAGCCCCTAGGTGCTATGGGGTCACTCCTGGGTGCCTATGGGGCGTTGTGGAGGCCCTATAGGCTGACCCATGGAGGCACCTTTGGGTGCTGTGGGGCTGCTTGGGGGCTTTGAGACCCATAGATGCTATGGGGTCAATCCTAGGGGACAGTGGGTGCATCTGTGGGCTGATGTGGGGTGTGGGGGCCCTATAGGCTGACCCATAGAGGCAGCTTTGGGTGCTGTGGGGCTGCTCTGGGGGGCTTTGAGACCTATAGGTGCCATGGGGTCAATCCTGGGTGTCTATGGGGTGCTGTGGGGGCCCTATAGGGTGACCCATGGAGGCACCTTTGGGTGCTGTGGAGCTGCTTGGGGGGCATTGAGACCCATAGATGCTGTGGGGTCAATCCTAGGGGACTGTGGGTGCATCTGTGGGGTGCTGTGAGGTGTGGGGGACCCTATAAGATGACCCATAGAGGCACCTTTGGGTGCTTTGGGGGTGGCTGGGGGGCTTTGAGACCCATAGATGCTGTGGGGTCAATCCTAGGGGACTGTGGGTGCATCTATGGGGTGCTGGGGGGTGGGTGGGTTCCCATAGGATGCCCCATAGAGGCACCTTTGGGTGCTGTGGGGCTGCTTGGGGGGCTTTGAGACCTATAGGTACTATGGGGTCAATCCTGGATGCCTATGGGGTGCTGTGGGGCCCCATAGGATGACCCATAGAGGCACCTTTGGGTGCTGTAGGGCTGCTTGGGGGGGCATTGGGACCCACAGATGCTATGGGGTCAATCCTGGGGGACAGTGGGTGCATCTGTGGGGTGCTGTGAGGTGTGGGGGACCCTATAACATGCCCCATAGAGGCACCTTTGGGTGCAGTGGGGCTGCATGGGGGGCTTTGAGACACTTAGATGCTGTGGGGTCAATCCTGGGTGTCTATGGGGTGCTGTGGGGCCCTATAGGATGACCCATGGAGGCCCCTTTGGGTGCTGTGGGGCTGGTTGGTGGGCTTTGAGACCCATAGGTGCTATGAGGTCAATTCTGGGTATCTATGAGGTGCTGTGGAGTTGGGGGGTGGGCATGGGGTGAGCCATAGAGGCACCTTTGGGTGCTGTGGGGCTGCTTGGGGGGCTTTGAGACCCATAGATGCTGTGGGGTCAATCCTGGGTGCCTATGGGGTGCTGTGGGGGCCCTATAGGGTGACCCCTAGAGGCACCTTTGGGTGCTGTGGGGTGGTTGGGCTCCATAGGATGACCCATAGGGGCTCCTTTGGGTGCTGTGGGGCTGGTTGGGGGGCTTTGAGACCCATAGATGCTGTGGGGTCAATCCTAGGGGACTGTGGGTGCATCTATGGGGTGCTGAGGGGTGGGGGGGTTCCCATAGGATGCCCCGTAGAGGCACCTTTGGGTGCTGTGTGGCAGCTTGGGGGGCTTTGAGACCTATAGGTGCCATGGGGTCAATCCTGGGTGTCTATGGGGTGCTGTGGGGGCCCTATAGGATGCCCCATAGAGGCACCTTTGGGTGCTGTGGGGCTGCTTAGCAGGGGGCACTGGGACCCATAGGTGCCATGGGGTCAATCCTGCGTGCCTATGGGGTGCTGTGGGGCCCCATAGGATGACCCATAGAGGCACCTTTGGGTGCTGCGGGGCTGCTTGGGGGAGCATTGGGACCCACAGATGCTATGGGGTCAATTCTGGGGGACAGTGGGTGCATCTGTGGGGTGCTGTGGGGTGGGGGGGGACCTATAGGATCTCCCATGGAGTCACCTTTGGGTGCTGTGGGGTTGCTCTTGGGTGGGGCGCTGGAATTGGTGGCTGGGACAGCAGTCTGGCTATAGGGCGGCTATAGGGTGGCTATAGGGCTGCCATAAGGACCCACAGATTCTATGGGGTCACCCTGGGTGTTTATGGGGTGCAGTGGGGTGGGGGCAGCCCCATAGAACCCCTATGTGTGTGTTCCACTTCCCCACTGACCCTAAATCTCTCCATTTCCCCCAGGACTGCTGGAATTGGTGGCTGGGCTGGCAGTCTGGCTATAAGGCGGCTATAGGGCCGCTATAGGGTGGGCCTAGAGACCCATAGATTCTATGGGGTCACCCTGGGTGTTTATGGGGCGCAGTGGGGTGGGGGCAGCCCCATAGAACCCCCATGTGTGCGTTCCATTTCCCCACTGACCCCAACCTCTCTTTTTCCCCCCAGGACTGCTGCAGTCAGTGGCTGGGTCGGCTATAGGGTGGCTGTAGGATGGCCATAGGGACCCACAGATTCTATGGGGTCACCCTGGGTGTTTGTGGGGTGCCGTGGTTTAGGGGCAGCCCCATAGAACCCCTGTGGATGTTTCCCATTTCCCCATTGACTCCTAACCTCCCCATTTCCTCCCTGCTGCAATTGGTGGCTGGGCTGGCAGTCTGGCTATAGGGCCGCTATAGGGTGGCTCTAGGGTGGCTGTAGGGTGGCCATAGGGACCCACAGATTCTATGGGGTCAGCCTGGGTGTTTATGGGGTGCTGTGCTTTAGGGGCAGCCCCATGGAACCCCTATGGATGCTTCCCAGTTCCCCATTGACTCCTAACCTCCCCATTTCCCCCAGCAGTGCTGGAATTGGTGGCTGTGCTGGCAGTCTGCTTATAGGGCCGCTATAGGGTGGCCATGGAGACCCACAGATGCTATGGGGTGACCCTGGGTGTTTATGGGGCGCAGTGGGGTGGAAGCAGCCCCATAGCACCCCTATGTGTGCATTCCACTTCCCCACTGACCCTAAATCTCTCCATTTCCCCCAGGAGCGCTGGAATTGGTGGCTGGGCTGGTGGGCTGGCTATAGGGTGGCTGTACGGCCACTGTAGGGTGGGCATAGAGACCCATAGATTCTATGGGGTCACCCTGGGTGTTTATGGGCGCAGTGGGGTGGGGGCAGCCCCATAGCACCCCTATGTGTGCGTTCCATTTCCCCACTGACCCCAACCTCTCTGTTTCCCCCCAGGAGCGCTGGGATCGGTGGCTGGGACGGCAGTCTGGCTATAGGGCCGCTATAGGGCCTCTATAGGGCCGCTGTAGGGTGGCTATAGGGCGGCCCCCCCCCCGCCATGTACGCGGTGTACAAGCAGGCCCACCCCCCCACGGGGTTGGAGTTCTGCCTTTACTGCCATTTCTTTGGCACAGCCGAACGCAACCTGGTGGTGGCCGGAACCTCGCAGCTCTACGTCTATCGCCTCAACC